TTTTCAGACCAACCATTAGCGTAGATAGATAATACACCCTTTTCCTTATAAACATCAAGCGTGGATCCCGTCGAGTACGACGGACGTGAGGGGTGCTAATACCTTCCCCTTGCGTAACCGACTCCCGAATCCAGGTTTTGGTTGCGATGGCCATACCTTTTTTCCGTCTTTGCGAGGTTTACTTCGAGCGTTTCCTTTCCCGCTCTGAGGGATAAATAACGCACGGTGGTGACTCGCCTGTCAAGCCGGCGCCGATTTTCGCAGTAGCGACAGCTGCAAGGCACTCCGATGCTGAAGTAAGAATCGGGAGATGAGAAGGCAAGTACAAAATATTTCTTAGGATGATTATTGGATACTTGACCCTCTCAACAGAGAGAGTTTTTATAATGCCCCTAACGCTTGGCCATTGGTCCATATTTTTGGACCGAGATATTCGTTCCCTAAAAATAGGTAAATGCCAGAAACTAGTCGTTGAGACGAACATATGTGCTTGAAACTAGTCGTTGCTTTGAAGCAGGGGCGTGGTCGCGGACAAGAGCGTCGCGGACGTTCCTGGATGGTTGAAATGTGCGTGACAGGAAAAGATGTCACGAAGGACAATTGATCCCGGGGGTCGGCTGACCAGCTTTCCTCAGCTAGGGGGAGAGCAGAAAATGTTTTCCCTTGCCCTTAACTGGCAGGGATCAAGCTATTGAGCCGTTTTGGGTGCAGAAGTGGATTGGGCCATGCATATCCATTGGTCTAGTCCGGAGTAGATACAAAATATCCCCAAGTGATATTTTTATCTTCTAGTACCAATTAACCAATTATTAATGTTACTAAATATCCCATCTTGTACTTATTAATAACGAGCCCTTTATTTTAATAAAGACTGATCCCTTCAAAATCCACTGATTACTCTATTGGTCTCAACTGACAACCTTCAAAGTACCTAAGGGTATATGGGATATTACAAGGCTCATATGAAGGTTTATTTAGTAATTCCTATCGATTATTGCTTGGTTCATGACATGGAATTCGTACAAAATTCAAGTTCATGCAACATCCTAGGTTCAAGAAGTGTCCAAATTCAATTTCAAGATTTAAAGGGACAAGCATGCATACACAATTCACCCAAGAAAGGATCTTTTTTATTACAAGTCATCCTTCATTACAATATCCAAATTCAAATTGTAAAGCATGTACAAAAACCAAAATTTTGACCTATAGTTGATATGGTCAATTGTTGACTTTTTAGTCAACCAGTTAGCCAAAGTCAATTTAACCCTAGACCTATTACATTCTTCCTCTTCATGGCTCCCACTTTGATTGCCAAGTAACCAATCTTCATTATGGTGCTTCATGCCAAGTGTTGCTCATGTCCTAGTTTTGCTTATGTCCTTATCTTCATGTTAACTCCAAGATAACCCTGCAAAGTGTGAACAAACATCTATTACACATACACATACACAAACAAAAAAATCAATTCAGAACATTGTGCTAAACTTTGTTTCACAATTTACACCCAGACACGTTTTGATTCAATTATAAGAACGAGTTAAACATGAGACAAGCACAAATCATATTACACCGACTGACTTCGGCATGGGACAACTAACAATCATATAGATAACACAATTCAATTTCCTCCATGTAGCCTTTTCCCTAACAGTTGATTCAACATATTGTCATCTATATCATCTTTTAGAAACATTATAACTGACTCAATTCAAACACTCAAGTTCATTTCAAGCAATAAACATTCAAAATTTACAAGACAAAATTACTAGTTCAATTAGATCCCTAACATCACTTCATTAGAAAAATAACATAATAACAGGTTCACAATAGTTCATAACACATCATCAATATACATAAAAAACAAACTTCAATTCAATTGCAAATACCAAATAGTCGTTGACATAACCAAACCTACTAACCTTATTCATGACAATCTCTAATTCTGAGCTTTATTTTTAGCAGGACCATAACACAACAATCTTTAAACATGTCCACTAAGTAGTCAGTCCTTTTCCAGCCTTCATTGTAGTGCAATTCCAATCATTCCAAACAATTCCAACTCATGCACCACACATTCCAAACAACCTTCAATATCAAAAATCATATACATAGCCTTTCACACAAACCTGTCACTATTCAAACTAAACATACTAATGTCAATCCAACTAACCCCTAACAGTTCCAACATATGCCTAACATAATTAACAATTCAAATAATGACCAATTTGATTTTAAACTATTTTTCAACATGGCGATCAATAAACAAGCATAATCAATCAGAACATGGCAAGCATTTTAATCAATTCTATAATCACAATTCAATATGATTCACTAACTTAATTTCTAGTTAAGTTCAAACTTACTATGATGATACCAACTCTGATCCCATATAGTAACAGTTTAACCTACTAACACATTCTAACAGTATTGTAATGCCAGCTGTCAACTTTCAAACTGTTTCATATTTGTTCCATCATAACTAACTAATTGAAATTCAATTTGCAATTAACATTAATTGTAACTACTTCTAACAGTTCTAAAATTCTAATTGTTTTTGTTTTTACTAACATAACTAACTAATAGTTAACTCCATCCATTGTCTTCACTAATCAACTAATTGTCACAAGCTGAATTCAAAATGACCTTATTAACCTCAACTCCTAACAGATATTAACTAATTTAATCTAATTACACCAACACTTAACTGAAGCAATTCAAACTAAGCTCATTAACAGAATAGTCAATAACAAATTAACGATACTCTCGTATCCCGTAGCAGTGTATTGAACAACCAATGACTATAAAGATGTTGCCTACAACATCATTTGATCGTACCTGACCAGAAAGAGATCGATGGTCTGCCACATGTCGTCGATCTGGAAGTTGTTCATCCAAAGTGTAGAAGAGGAGGGGGTATACCTAAAACACACTCTTATGCCAAAGTAAGTGACGAGCAGAGTGGAAGCAAGTACAGAGAGAGAGTAAGAGAGTTAAATTACTTGACCCTCTAGTGAAGAGGGTATTTATAGTGAGCCCCCAGCGCAGGGCCAACAGTTACTTAGCACTGGGCTGGCCTGTCAGGCCCAATGTTAGTAACTGCTAGGGCTGACGTGGCGTCGTGAAGACCAGGACGTGGTCTTCACCCTAGGGTAACTGTTCCGCGCTATCCGGGAGGAGGAAGACCGAATTCCAGGACGTGGGGCAGTTACTTTATGACGTGTCCCTGCGTGAGGGGCACGTGGAGAACGTGGGGGAAGGGCCGAGAAGTTCCCCAGACAGGTAGAGGTGGCTGGTCGGATGCGAGGGTCCTGCCCGACGATGGGGAAGAAGGAGGCTGGAAGGTCGGGTGCGGGGGTCCTGCCCGACAGCTGTTAGCCTATGCCCGTTGGGGAGGCCACGTGCTCGACGGGGATCCTGCTCGTCAGCATGGTATTCTTGGGTCCAACCTCGTTGGGCTTGGGCCTGCTTGGTGGTGGTCTAAGCGTCGGCCCAGTCCATAACAGTAGCCCCCCAGCGGGCGTGCAAGCTATGACTTGAGTAGGGAATGGTGTCGGGCGCGTTGACCAGTCGAGCAGGTATCCGTCGGACAGACTGTGATCATGTCGGCCAGGTGAACAACCAATGACTATAACGATATTGCCTACAACATCATTATTCTAAGACTATGCAAAGAAAATAATGACGCTCCCCATACTAGAATAATGTGATTCCTACAATTTCAAACGTTCACGCCATATTAATTTCAAAATAGCGACACTATTAGGGTAGATAGTAGCAAAAAAACAAAATAATATGTACTAAGTTTATTAATTTATTTTTTATTGTAAAAGTCATAAATTCCTAAAGGACGGGTGACTAATTCTCTTAGATTATGCCCTCTTTAGATGAATTTGACCCAAATGTGTGAACTTTGTAACCCTGGTTGATTTGCTCTTGAAATGAACCTCTTTTGGCGATTATTCAATAATATTTTGTGTTTAATATTTTTCACGTCTACATAATTGAGATGATTGATCTAGATGGCAACTGAGAATTAATCATAAACTCACGTCTACACAATTGCGTTTAATACTTTGCACATCTGAATTTAATAACATTGCGGAAGTCATACACTTCTTAGACTCGTCTCAAAGTCTTCAACCTTTCATTTAATTCCTTTCTCGACTCTTTATATAAGACTATATCACTACATAATTGAGATGATTGATCTAGATGGCAACTGAGAATTAATCATAAACTCACGTCTACACAATTGCGTTTAATACTTTGCACATCTGAATTTAATAACATTGCGGAAGTCATACACTTCTTAGACTCGTCTCAAAGTCTTCAACCTTTCATTTAATTCCTTTCTCGACTCTTTATATAAGACTATATCACTAGAAAAAAAAATACAATGTAGTGTCAGCACTAGAGCGTGTTTCATAAGCACTAGGAAAAAAATACATAATTTTAAAATAAAATATTTAATTAATTTAAATGAATTATAATATGCAAATGAATTTTATAAATAGATTGAATATCCATTTAAATATAAATTTATTAAAAATATGATAATTAATAAATTTTAATATTAATGAAACTATTAAAGAGTATCTTTTTAATTGTTTATAGCAAAACATGTATATAATAATTAGAAAGAGAAATATTTATTAAATTCTTAAAATACAAAAAAGAAAAGAAAAAATGAAAAATGTCAGAAGTGGGATTTGAACCCACGCTCTCTCACGAGAAACAGAACTTGAGTCTGGCGCCTTAGACCACTCGGCCATCCTGACGAGTTGGTGTTGGTTTCGTTGGTTTGTATTAGTCAATAGAAAAACGAATTAAAATAAAATGGTGTGAAGTGGGTAAGGAGGCACAGGCGAGAGAGAAGAAGAAGGTCGACGACGACAGCGGGTTGGGTTGAGAAAGGGGAAAAGGTTAATTTCCCTTCTTGTTGATTTATGTGAATACTATTAGATTTTTTGTTTTGGATAATATTCCTATGTTATTAGATTATGGGAATGGAGTTGTTGGCTTTGAATTCATCACCACTATGCAATGTTACTACAACTAGGACTAGGAGGAGAATTCATCACAAACACTACCATTCCAATCTGTCTATTCCCATGGCTATGATGACATCTGCTTCCAAGGTTTCCTTTCTCTAATCCACACCTATTTTTCATTTTTCAATTCTCAATCTTATTAATTCAGTTTACTTCATTATTTGAAGGTATATGATTCAGTGTTAGAGAACAAAAAGCATGTCCTTTTAACCTCTCTTCAAGACACACATAGAGGACTCTTAACAACTCCTCATCAACGTTCTTCTATTGAACAAGCACTAGTTAGTATTTTCAATTTCTCACTTTCTTTCCAACCACCAATGTCTTTCATACTTAGATGAATGTACAAGTAACCAACACTGGTAATGTCTTTCCTACTTAATATTGTTATTTAGGTGAATGTAGAAGTAACCAACACCGGTGACCCAATTGATTTGAACAAACTAGATGGAACATGGCGCCTCCAATACACTTCTGCTCCTGATGTTCTCATTCTATTCCAAGCTGCTGCTACACTTCCTTTCTTTCAAGTACTTTAACTATGCTTTTTTCATCAACACTTGTGCATTTTTTCTTTTACCAATCTCATGCTTGCTTTAACTAAAAACTTAAGCTAATGATAGATATAGTTGCCTCCCAAGGGGGACCAAACAGGTGAGATGAGAGGACCGTAACTTACCCTTTTCATCAACACAACAAATTGCGGTTGTTATGCTTGTGAAATGCAATTACTTGTCATAACGCTTTTTCTCTTACTTTCTTTGCTTCCCCCACGACGACATAGGTTGGACAGATATTTCAGAAATTTGAATGCCGTCATAACTCTACCGGAGGTGTTATTCTAAACGTTGTCCGCTGGAGTATTCCAAATTTGTTAGAGGTAAAACACCGTCAACACCCCTTATTTTCATGCTAACTAGGAAATTTCACCGTTATCATCTTCAAGGGTGTTAAAATATATCGGAAACTCAAATAATCTTTTATGTCAAAATGCTAAACCTAGTTCATTTGTCTCTAGTAGTTGTACTCACTTTCAGCCCAACTCTTGTAGGAACAAGAAGGTGCCACGTTGCTTGTATCTGCCAAATTTACTCTTGTATCCGCACGCAATATTTACCTTCAATTTCAAGAGGTAATCATTTTTATTTTCCACAAACATGTTTTCTATACAATAGCTGGGAATCTTATCTCAACAGATGATGGGTACTTTTAGTACATGATGCATATTTTCTTCTTCTCTTGTGTTTTAAAAAGTTTGTTTAATGGTCGGATGATGAGTGATCATCCACACACATTCAGTTTTGCTTTTGATATTCCTTATAAATATTACTAATATTTTTTTCCTTATCTCATCTCCAAACTTTATTATATGGTTTATGCGTTACTATTACCCCTCTAACTTTTTGGAGCTTAATGCACATGCTACACTTAATATAATATGTTTTGTTATTATAATGGTTCACTTCCACAACACTCAAGTTTGAGAAAAAGATTATACTATTGATATTCTGATATGAATATCACATTTCCTTCTTCAATTGATATGTATCACACTTTCATAACAAACTTGCAATTTATACCTAGCAGATCACACTTCAAGATATAAATATTAGTGAACAGGTTCAGGCTCTAATATCTTCAGCATTACTACCGCGATCTTTTATAAGTTTGCAGGTAAATCTGCATTTATAATTTGAATGTACTATCTTACCGGCACTCAATACTGAGATCACATTGACAACGGTAACTTATGCCACCAAAAAGTTTCTGCATCAAATAAAATACTTTGGTCATATAGTTTTATGTGAACGAGGACCAGTGCAAACCAGCTATGTATACGACATAACTCATAGACTGTACTTTTCTCCTGCAGATCTTGCAATATCTCCGTACTTTCAAAGCTCAAATTCCCGTGAGGAATCCAGGAAGGTATATATATGATTCACCACTTTGTTGAAATAGTTAAAGGGTCTTCTTTATCGGCAAATTAGACACTAATTTAAGGCTCTTTTGAATTGTAGGGAATCCGTAGGAGGATTATATTATCTGAGCTATTTGGATGATAATATGCTTTTGGGTCGTGCTGTCGGTGGAGGTGGTGTATTTGTGTTTACAAGAGCCCAATCACTTTGCTAATGAGCATTGATCGGTAGTTCAATACTTGTACTGCTTGACAGCAATATAACAGTAACACTCCATGAGCCGTTGTTACGGAACATATGGAGAAGAAGAAACAGATTGGAAGACTATAGCCTACTACCGGGGATTCTCCTCAATGTAATCTATGTGATATTATTTGATCTTGATACTCTTTAGGGGAAGGGGAGGGCGTCTTGTAAATTTGTTCTGTATCTATTAATTTCATTTATATAGCAGTATATTGATATTGATATAGTTTATGTTCAATGTAACTTTTGATATCAGATTTCTAGCCGATAGTTCTGTAAATTGTCATTTTACACCAGGCATCATTTGAACAAAGTGGTAATCAAATGCCAAAAACATATGTCTATTTAAAGTAAAAAGCTGCAATCTTAATGATTCTCACCAACCCTGACATTAAGATTGCATCTAGCAAATAGTTCATGACACTTGAAATCTTATCCTTGGAATTTAATTTGCTTAATGTATGAATAAAGTTGTTCAGATCAGATATATTGAAAATGAATTGGAACTCGATGGCGTCAGAGACACGATAATATACTATTACTGATATAAAATTAAAGGGTGATTATTCTGGATTAAGGTCATGGGGCTGGCAGCCAGAAATATGGGAACACTAAATTAAGATAATTGGTGGTTGTGTTGTGTGGTAAAATAGCAACCATAGTCAGCAACAGCAACAGAATCCCCAAAATAATATATAAATAAATAATATTCAATCGTTTATCAACCAATCAATGCCCATCATCATTTTCAACAACCAATAATAGAAGACATTGAAACTACTCCTAGGTAAAATGGCCATGGAGAAGAAAAATTCAACAGAGGTAATTGATATAGAGAAACTTCCGGATCATGTAGTGATAGAGATATTCATAAGAACAAGAGTGAATGATTGGACACAAATATCATGTGTGAAGAAGCACTGGGCTTCTCTTTTTCAAACTGAATGTTTCTGGCATGCTGCTCTTTCTCGCATCTATCCATTCACCAATCCTTCTCAACCATGGCCTGGATCTATTCCTCCAGCCTTAGCCAAGAGGTATTTTTGTCTTAACCCTCCGTTTCTCTCTGTGAAAGAGACTCTGGTAAATATATAAATTGATATGGTATGTTGACGATTTTAGGAGATTCATGGCCTTGCATATAAGTCAAGAGATATTAGGTTGTGATCATAATGATAAACAAGTAGATGAGATAGTTGGACACAGTTATCTGTTTTTGAAAGAGCAGCTTCAACTTTCTAATTTGCCTTCTCATAGTGGAATACTTCATGAAACCATCATTGGTCTGTATCATTCATACCCCGCCCTCTTTACTTTTATTGATACATCAAATGTTATTAGAACTTTGATCATTTCTTTTCTATTTACCAGATCAGTTCATAGCTTGTGGGAAATCAAGAGATGTAGCTCATGAACTTGCATCTATGATTTGGCTAGCAGTTGTTGATAATTTGGAAGAAAACCACCACACCTTTTGCTTACTTAAACGCCTTGCACACGAAGGAGATGTAAGTTTTAGTTACAATCTCTGTCTTTGTCATGCACAATAAGTTAGCTTATAGTTTGATAAACTACTTCAACTAGTTAATTTTGCAATAATTTTCAGCAGGTTTTTCTTCCATACCCTTACGCTAAATCTGTCAAAGTCCAATGGAGGGTGTTCGAGAAGCTTTTTACTGATTTTCGTGATTGCTTCAACCATACAGATTACTGTGATATGTTGGCATGTGCTAAAAGTAGGTTTCAGCCAATACCATCCACTTGGTTAGGTTATTAGCATACACGACATTCTCAAAGCACTTCAAGAGGTTGATAGTCTATCTTGCACAATTTTAATTAGTTTTGTAAAACATCTTAAAGATAGCGACTTAGTCTGCGATTTGACTCGATAATTTCTTCAATGTTATTTTTACAAAACCAAAAAATAACAATACTAAGAAGTTTTCAAACTGTCATGATTACCGGAAAAAATAATTGGTACTTATATTGTTGTTTCTGACACGCCGTTCAAATTTTAGGAAAGTCATTACAAACGTTGGCAACAAAAACTGTGATTTTTCTTAACCTTAAAATAGTTGTCAATGTTTTAACTGATGGCGTTGATGAGTCATCATGAGGGAGAATCATACACATTGGGTCAAATATTTACCTAAAAGTCAAAGACGCACCAAACAAGTGAGAGAGACACCACATATTCACCTAAAACTTTAAGATGATAGATGTGTGAGTCCTCTTACTTATAAAGTGCTCAACCTCCACTTTTATAAGCAATGTGGGACTTAAAACTCACACTTGTTTCTCAACATAACTCACACTTGTTTCCCAACAATCCCCCCATCAAGTGGAGTCCATTCACTATGCTCCCTCTCAAGCGGAAGCTCTTTCATTCACATGCTTATGCCGCCGTTGAGATACACTCTTATCTTGTTATGAGCACTTCAATAGAACGCATTGTCTGACCACCATGTCAGGAAGACTTTCGACACAAGGAGACGATCCCTTACTCAAACTAGACTCTGATACCATTAATGGGTCATCATGAGGGTGAATCATACACATTAGGTCAAACACTTATCTAAAGATTAAAGACCCACCCAAAGAAGTGAGAGAGAGACCACACATTCACTCAAAACCTTAAGGTGATATGTGTATGAGTCATCTTACTTATAAAGTGTTCAACCTCCACTTTTCTAACTAATTTGAAACTTAGAACTTACACTTGTTTCTCAACACAAATCACACTTGTTTCCCAACAGACATTCCTGGTGATCCTTCTACATCAAACGAGCAAATTAACAGTAATAAATATAAGGATTCAAATGGAATAGTTACGTATGGTGAATATGAATTAGTTGCACAAGTTAAAGCAAAGGATTACAGTTGAGGAAAGAAATCACCCTATGGAAAGAGAGTGATTATCTTTACGAAAATCATATAGTGAAAATGGACTCACAGATAATTTGTATGAGTATTACAAGGGTTGTGATACAACAAAACAAGTTTGTGAAGCTCTGAAAAATAAACATGATACCGAAGAGGCTGGAGAAAAGAAATATGTTGTTTGTTGTTACCTGAAGTATTAGATGATAGATGAAAGGTCCATAGAAACTCAATGTCACGAACTTCAAAAGATTGCTCATGAGATCATATCGAAGAGTATGCTCCTAGATGAAGAATTTCAAATTACTATTATTGTTGACAAATTGCCCCCTGGTTTAAAAGATTTCAAAAACTTGTTTTAGCACAAAATAAAAGAATTTTCAATCGAGAGTCTAATTACTCTCTACCAAATTGAAGAAGAATCTTATAGATAAGATAAAAAAGGTGAAAACTTTTGTTCAAACAACAACAAAAATTCAGTGTAATTCTAAATTCATGTGGCTAACCATTAAAAAATTAGAACCGCAATTTTGTGACCAAATTAGGAATGAGAACCCTTCAAGGGTCTCAATTGCTTCAATTGCTAGACAACAACCATCACCTCAAAGAAATGATGTTGATTTTTTATCTTGTTTAAATTATGGAAAACCATATCATATGGCTAAGAAATGTAGAAGAAAGCCAAAATCTTATGTTACCCTTAATGGAGAGGTTAACTTGACTGATGAGCCATTTATTGTTATGATCACTGAAATCAACATGGTTGGTATATATGGGAAACCTCGTGTTTGCAGGTTAATCGGGAAGTGATTAAAATTAAACAGGTAATGCCTAAACCTTTCATGGTTTTTATGATGACAATTCATAAGATATATCCTTGATGATAAGTCATGGAGATGCATTGATGACAACAAAGCATGAAGCTAAGCAAGCTCTACAGTTATCTCAAGCAGCCAAAGATGCACAAAACAATTTGTTAAAGACCCTTTCTCCGAAGATAGATGAATTATGGTTTAATGACCACCTTTGACATCTTCTAATCATGACATTCAATTTGAAGATATCTCAAGTCTCGTCTCCAAGAAGACTCAAGAAAATGCTTATATGGTTGGTGTATTCAGAAAATTCTTGAAGCTTCAAAGTGTGAAATAGAGAAAATGTGAAAGCTTTCCTGGTCATGTCTGAGTGATCAGTATTTTAAAAAAAACACAAAGGCGTTTTCGTAAAGTAGTAAGGCAAAACCATACACTCACTAAAAATCAATTTTAAATCTTCTATTTTTCAAAATAAAATATCTAAAAATGCTTTGGAGCCTAGCTAGATGAATTAGGAGCTGACACAATAAGTTTGGACATGAATTTTGATTTGTCAAATAGATTGGAGCATATTCCCAATCAATTGGATAAGAGAAAAACTAGTCCATAATCGATTGTAACAATGTCTTAATGAAGGATAACAATTCTTTGTCAAATATTTCCAAAATGAGCATTTATAATCGATTATTTAGGTCATTCAATCGATTGTGATAAAGACCCAATCGATTGGGCCATTAAAGTAGCCCATGGTTTGTTTCCTTTTTTGCTCTCACCTTTGGCCTATAAATAGATGTCTCTCCTTTCACTTTTTCACATCCATAAACATGAGCTATCTTACACACCTCACTCTCTCTAAAATATTTTCTTCTTTCTACCATATTAATTTAGCCATAACGCTTTGAGAAAATCCTAGTGTTTAAGTGAGGAAACTTGTTCTAGAAAGGGTAAAATTATAAATTCAGCAAAAGTTATTTTTTCTCTTGACTGAGTATCTCTTATTAGGAAGTAATTGTTTGGTTTGAAGCTAAATTCGTTAAAAATATTTGTTTGTGGGATTTAGTATTAAGCTGCCATTTGGTTCGTGAGCTGAGCCACTTATGGAAAAACTCTCTCTTGTAGGTTATTAAAGATAACCAGTAAAAAAATATTCTCTTCGGTCTGTGAGCTCAACTCGGTGTAAAAGCTCTACTTGTGAGGGCAAGCAGTCACACAACATATATTCTCGAATTTCGATGATGACAAAGTTCAACCTCAGATCAACAAGGAGCTATCA